AGCTAGGCACCTGTATGCCCCGTTATAATTCTGATACTGGTCAGGAAGGCGAGAATGGGTTTGGGTGGACAGCTAGTAGTATCTTACTTTTCCCCTGTGTGGTACTTCTCTAATTAATGGCATTATTCTGTAAAATACTCAGGCTTGGGTCCTTACAATCATCCTCCAACCTTCATCTCTCTCCTTATCTGTTATAACTACCTAAGCAATCCCATATTCATTCCTTGCTTTCTACTGCCTCCTCCACAGCACTGCTCAAGGCCTTTGTATCTCTTGGTTGAGCAACTGTAATCAACCTCCAAAATTACCTCCCTAGGTCAGCCCTCAGAGGCTCATCACACTCATCTTTCACTCTGCTGTCAAGTGCCACTTCTTAACACAAAGATCCAACTGTCCAAGAAGTTTGAGCACCTTAACGGTTACACCTCTACTCACCGTCAAGGCTGTGAGCACCACATACAGAGCACCTGCAGCTATGCCTTTGTAGCTCAGGGGATCATTCCAGACTGCCTCCTACTCTGTTCCAAACCATCTCATTCCCCTCTCATGGCCCACGCTTCTACCTTTTTGCCTCACACCAGGACTCTGCCCAACTTTATCTTCCTTTGGATTAACACCATAATGGGACTGTCTACCCAGCTTTTCATTCAGCTATGTCCCAGAGATGGTCTCTCAGGACCCAAGCTTGCTCTTTGTTCAGCAGACAAGTTTGGACAGTGATCATGTTATTCTCTTCACCCAAAGCAACATGAGTTCCTATTGCTTATGAATAAAACAGATTTTTTTTTCAGCATGCCATCTATGGCCTGCCTCCATCTGATCCCATTCCACAATGACCACCCTCACCAATACATCCTTATAATCTTCTTGACATTTTTCTCATTCTTTAGTATCTGCCTCATACATCACCTCCTCCAGAAGCCTTCCTCTTCCTCCTCTTTTGTACTCCATCTTTGTACCACGTTCTTCTATGTATTGCTTTCTACTTCTATAGCTTTTGTGTATACAATGACCTCCCTATCTAGAGTGTATACACCCTAAAGACAGGGACTGTGACTTAGTCATCCTTTCAGAACTCATGCTGCTGAGAATAAAGCCTTGGGGAATACTTTAGATCACGTTATTCCACTGCTTAAGATCTCCTGATGCTCCAATGGCTTCCTATATCACTCCGTCAATGACAGAAACCCTACATAGGACTACATGGTCTTACAGTATCGAATGTTCCTGTTTCCACTCTCCCCTTGCTCCTTGCTGTTCCTCGAACACATCAGACAAGATCCCACCTCAGAGCCTTTGCATTTGCTGTTCCTTGTATTGAGGCACTCTTTCCCCAGATATCTGCACGGCTCGCTTTCTCAACTTCTCAGGGCTTCTCTCCAAAGCCACTTTCTCAATGAGGCCTTCCCCAATCGCTTTATTCCCACTGGGACTCTTGCAACACGCTCTTTCCCTCTCCCCTGATTATTGTTTCTCCACAGCAGACATCACCTCCTTACATAATACATACTTTCCTCATTTCATGTGTTTCTCTCTCCCCCCTGCTAGAATGTAAGCTTCATCCTAGTTTGAATCTGTTTGTTTACTTCTGCATCCCCAGAGCCTAGGATAAGGCCTGGCCTATGGAAGACACCCAATAAACATTTGTTGAAAGAAAGTAAGAATAATTACACTAATAGAAAGTGCTCAATAAATATTTGTTAAATTGAATGAAAAGTGTCAGGAACAGATGACTGAACTTTCCAAATTCTAAAAAAATATGTTGGCTTGGGAGAACTGTGAAACTGAGTGAAAGCCGCCTCATTATAAACATCCTTGAGAAAGAACTAAAATCGTGTATTGGTGGTGGGAGGGGCAACTGGCGCAAGGCCATGTGGACCTTGCGGAGGCATTAGGGGCTGCCTTACTTCCCCATTTGGATACAGCCTGTCACGCAGGTGTTTCTCTGAAGTTACCTCCTCAGCTTGTGAAGCACGCAGAACTCTTGAGTGGCTTACCTGACACTTCTCAGGTGTAACTAGGAAACTACCAGGAGGAAAAATGACCAAAAAAAACATCACCCACGACTAGATTTTGGGTCCTGGGGAAGCAGAGCCCATTGCAGAACAGTGCAGAGGGGACCCTTCTGTCTTCTCCCAAGGCTCCGCCTTTACGCTGTTGATCTGAAATGCTCCTCCCCTCACTCCTTTGCAGCCGCCTCCTTTCGCAGGAGGATGGCGCTCCTGATCTCCGCCTTCCCTCTTCTCTCCTGGACCCATAGCATTTTTTTTTTCTTTCTCACGCTTCGTTGCTGCTACTACCGCCGACTCCGCTGGCCGTCTCTTTATTGTGCCTTGACTGTAAACAAAACACGTTAGCTCGCAGCAAGGTCGATGTAGGCAGTTTTTCTGCTGCCAGCCAGACGTCTTAAGGTGGTGTGACTATGACTCGTTTATTCCTCAAGATTAACAAAACAACAACATGGTGCTCCTAGGTATTAACTGAAGAAAGGTTCATTATGTATGGAGGATAGAAGCACTGCTTTTCTACTTTTATGTAGGACATGGACTCCAAAAATAAAGTGAAACTCTGTGGCAAGGTGTAATCCTCTGGAGTATCTCCATTTACATATTTGTGGTAGTGTGTGTATTAATGCATGTGAATATATGCTAACATATCATATGGAATTCCTGTATAGCCCAGCAATTATTTTAAAATTTCAACCACAAAGATCTAATTTCAGGGATGGGGTGTAAATTACGGCACAGAGGCCTACCCGAACTGGGCTGTCCCCTCTCTTCCTCTTCTCCAGTCTAATAAAACTGGGGCATGAAATGTAGACAAATGAAGATGAGGCCACCTACTTTGATCCCAGGTGCAATATTTTCTGTCAGGAAAGAAGTCCTGACCTGAAGCAAGTATTGGGCACTGCCTCCCTCACTGCTCCCTGGGTAGGGTATCACCCCGCTCCTTTGGGAATCTGCATTTTAGTTGAACTCGTGGATAGTGATACCAAAGGCCAGTGACAGCTACATATAAATATCAGTGACCACAGGCCACATCAAGGAAACAACAGCAGGTAGCCCCGGGCATGTGAAGGAGCCATTTTGAATTACTTGTAAGAGAGAGGACCTGCAGATTACAGCACAGGCAAGTGCAGACAAAAACACTGAACCAGCTGGGGCCATCAGGTAGGAAAGAAAGAAAATGAACCAGCTTGAGACAGGAGACCTCTGTCTAATCCTGTCTCTGCTGCCCACTGGACATGTGTCCCTGGATAGGAATCCTCCCAGTGTCAATTTCCTCAGTGGTAAAAAGACGGGGGTGAACCATAGGGCTGCCAAGGTCTCTTCGAGCTCTAATCCTGTGGTGTGTATGAGCTGAAGCAGGCACAGAGTGAACAAACAATAATGTGGTTAAGAAAGGTGAAAAATCAAACTCACCTGTAGCATAGATGCATAAGAAAACATCGCTGCTGTGGACTATTAGAATTGGAGGAGATTAGTTTCCAGTAAAATATATTAATTTGGGCTCAAACCAAGATTATATGTCTGGGGGGTGGGGGGTGGATGGCAGTTGAAGACCCATTGAGATCTGAGATGTAACAGCCGTTCCCTTGCTGTTTTACCTTCTACCACCCTGCTCAAGACCATACTGATAGGTAAATTTTAGGTTGCCAAGGGGAGCAGAGAAATGCCTGAACAATATCAGTTATAAAGACATGGTTGTGGTGGTTTTGGAAATCACTGCAGAATCTGGACTTTCAGATTATGAAAGTTCAAAAGCATTCACTTGGCACCTGACTTGTTCTGGTTGGGAAGAAATGAATCTGGAGAGAAAGGTGGGAGAAGGAAGGAGCTGTTGTAGTTGGCGGCGGGACTCAGGTAGAGGAAACTACTACCACCGGGGAAAGTACTGAAAAAATACAAAGAGACGAGTTCCTACACGCAGCCCACGTCCATTGATTTAACCGTGTTTGGGAGGCACGAACCTGGGCCAGGGGGTGTAACCTCGCTTTTGAACACTAAAGGTGTTTGAGACAGCTACAGAGTTTATTAGGGACTCGGGAGACCAGTTTGAGTTTTAGATCTTGAAATCTTATTTTTATTGAGAGCTTGGGTTCAGAATAGATACGCTATTATAAATGTCACGCCTACTCCAGGCTAATTTGCAGGAAGACGGTCGCCTTGGCTTCTTCCCTAAGCCCCCTGTCTCCCCTAGAAGAGCTGAGACTTCTAGGCTAAGGGTGAGCTAACCACTGCTCGCCCACAGCTAAGGCTGCCAGACCCTCAAGCCCAGTATTTCCCCGCCTCCCCCGCAGTGCTAGAAGTTGGGGCAGCAGGTAAGAGCCCAGCTGCGGGCGGGGCCCCCAACGTCTGCCTCCCCCCTAGCTGCCCACAGTGCGGGGAGTGGGGGGACAAGATCGCCACCGAGGCGCACAAAGAGCAGCCAGCAGCCTTTGAGATCCTCTGGTCCAGCCCTTCGCTTCCCCGAACCGGAGCGGGAGACCCGGGCTCCGGGCGGGACGGCTGCGCGCCCGTCGTCAGCGCAGCGAAAGGCCCCGCCGCCCCCGGCCCCTCCCCACCTTCCCCGCCGTTTGGCTAGTTTGTTTGTCTCATTTTTTCATTTCTGCGAAGGCAGGCCGGAGCAGGTTTGCTGGCAGCAGTACACCTCCAGCAATCACGGGACCAGCCAATCTCCGGGCGGCGTTCTCGGAGTCGGCGCGCTCGGGGAGGCGGGGAGGCGGCGGGATCGCTCCCGGGCCACCTTAAGGCCGCGCTCGCCAGCCGCGGGGGGGCGGCTCCCGGCGCCGCAACCAATGGACCTCCTCCTCTGTTTAAAAAGACTTGCGGTGTCAATCATTTTCTTCTTCG